TAATTGAAATACTATTTAACTAATAAAAAATTTGAATCTTGAGAATTCATTCATTTTATTCCATCTCACTTTTTCTTTCTTCTTTTCATATCCTTCATTCGTTCAAAACAACATATTTCAATATATATTCAATACATTCTATTTCTATTTCATTCATTTAAAATCTTTTTTTTCATTACATTAATTTGTAATGACATTTCTTTTTAAGGAGTACAGTGAGTATTTTTTATTTTCTGAATTTTTCGAACCTAAAATTGTTATAGTTTAGGTAATTATTATTTATGATTTCTCATTGATTACTTGATACGATTTGTAACCAATTTATGCGGATGGATCCGAATGTGCATGTTTATTTGTAAATTTTCCAAACTCTTTTTTCGTATGTTTTGCTAATTAATTTTCTCAAATAAATATATATAAATGTGTGATTTAATTTTATACAGTTGTTACGTAAATTTTTTGATCACTCGCACTGATCGAACATGTGTCTTGTTCGTGTGATTTTCTTTTACATTTTTTTTTTTTTTTTGAACACCTTTTTCCTTAATTTTGCTATTGGTCCTTTTTTTTTCATCTTGTAATCAGTTTGCTATAATTATTTTATTATTTAAACCTAAATAATATTACCATTACTTTCTTTGTCCCAGCGCCAATGTGTAAAATTTTCCTAAACTATGAACCAATTACAGAGAATTATAGTAAATTTCTAAATTAGGGTAAACGCATTTTAAATACGGAGTAATTGTAATGCTAACGCTAATATTATCATACTGTGTACACAATCATGTGATTATCTCCATCAATCAGGGATGCATTGTTAAATATTAAAGATGCATCGCTAATACAGTAAGGGAGGTCAGATGCTCGTTTTCAGCGAAAGATTTATTACTTCATCAGCATTCATCATTGGATGCATGGTGATTAAACTACAAAAAGAAAACAAACATGAATCTAAAGAAACAATATTCAATCAGTAGAACACGTATTCGTGACAAGAATATACACGTGTATAAATGTTGGCTTAAATCGATTCGCTATAATCTCAATTATGTTTAAAATCTTATTTTTTGTGAAAGGTAAAACCTCAGGTTGAAAAATATAATTATTTAATCAAACATCAATGTTATTATTGAATGTAAAATACGTCGGGTTAAAAGAAAAAAAAAATTGCAACGACATGCTATAGCATACATTTTAGTATGAATATAAAGGTTTCTCCCTCAATGCTGCAATGTGATTAGTCATTTGGTTAGTTATTCAATTTACGACTAATTAATATTTTCTGTTAAGTGAACGCCCTAAATCTGTTGATCAAAAAAAAAAGTAAGCAAGATCTTTTTTCTCTGCAAAAAATACTGTAAAGTCGGAGGTACTTGTAGAAGAAGAGCAGGGCAAGAGTACTAGCATACATCAAGTAAAGTTCTTTTTATTAATTTATTTATGAATCAGCGAATATGATTTTAGCAAGCAGAAAATAATAATTCAACAGAGATTAGAGATTTTAGTCCGAAGAATCGCTGGAAGAATCATCATCAGATAATTCAATATCTGCGATTTTTCGTCGTTTTTCTTCTTTTGCTATCACTCTAGCTTGATGTCGTGCAACTTTAGCCATGCGAAAATTACGTCGAACCTATGTTATTATAAAACATGCTCAGAAATGTCAGAAATACTGAAATGATGTTGTATTAATTATTAAATTGAAAAAAAAAAGTGTACCTGGTTAGGTGAAACAAATTCTGGATTTGCATATATAGTAGCACCACAAAAACTGCCTTCGAATATTCTAATGACGTTAAGAACAAATCGCGGTCCTATTTCTACAAGTGATAAATCTTTATCATCTGGTTTTTTATTGGGTTCCATCGGATCTT